AAAATAAATTTAAATTAAATTAAAAAAAAACAACAAAACAATTCCGAAACCAAAAAAAAAAAAAATAATAATAAAAGTACAAGATGGGTTTGTTAGTCATATGAATAACAAAAAGCTTAGTCTTCAAAAGTCACAAGTTCAATTATTATCTAAAATACAATACACAATAATACAGTAGTAAAATGGATAAGATTTACTATTTTTTTAAACTGGTCAACCCTTCCTCCCTAACAGCCCAAATAACTCGGGACTGAAAGACCATCACCTGCAGATCACTAAAAAGAATCATGACTGAGGGTCAGGAAACAGGAACTCTATACACTTAGACTTTATACAGCTGTATACTCTATACACCGTAGACTCTATACACTAACCAGCCAGGAAAGTTCATTTACCTCTCTGGGCCTCAGTTTACTTATCTGTAAAGTGGTAGAATTGAAATAAATGATCTCTATGACTATCCCAACTCTGACATTTGCAAGTCTTCCATTTTGGCAGAGTTGTGGAATTGTTATGTGATTCAGGAAATAGGTACTTTCTAACTGTAGATAGACCTTGGTGTTCTTTTCTACAAAAGGGCAGTTCTCTCTCCTGGAACTTCCTAAGTAACCAGCCATATATTTCCTAAAATCCACAAACAAACCAGATCCTACCAGGTGTGTCCAACCTGCAGCCCATGGGCTTCATTTGTCCCAGGATGTCTGTGAATGCGGCCTAACACAAAATCATAAATATACTTAATTTTTTTTTCTCATCAGCTTTCATTAGTGTTTGTGTATTTAATATGTGGCTTCAAGATAACTCTTCTTTTTCCAGTGTGGCCCAGAGATGCCAAAAGCTTGGACACCCCTGTACCTACACCAATGTGAATATAAGTGTCAGTAGAAGAACAGATAAAGAAGGCATCCTGTCCATATCAATTACAGAAATTCCATATAACCATTTCTTCCAAGCAGAAAGCAGTTTAATAAAAAGAAAGTAAAATTTTACCATCAAATCCTGAAACTAACTATTGCACTAAAAGACAAGGAACTTGAAGAGTATATTTTTAAGGTTCCTTATTAATAATTTTTAAAATGTATATGAAAAAATATGATGGCTTCAAAAAATGTACTACCCACATGATTTTCAAGGAATGATTATTTTAAAAATGGGAGTCTGGTACACATGCTTATGGATTTTGAATAAATCTATTCAATGCCAATATATTAACAATGTAACACCACCCAAAGTATGCCATGGGCTGTTATTTGATATTATTCAGATAAAAGAATCCTGTGGTTCAGTTTTTAAAACACTGCCTTTCTTCCCTACAAGACAACGCAGAGCCTTTGAAAGACTAATATCAGGAATTTAGAGACCGCAAAAGAAAGGCCTTCATGTACTATCTTCCCTGCTTGTGTAACCATAAAATGGACTAACGTTATATGAAACACAGTTTGATAAATTCGGTGTTGGGGACGCTAAGAAATCTATAAACAGGAAGACATAAGATGGCTTTCTACGGGTCAAATCTTATTATTAACAGATACCCCTACAATGAACATTTGAGCATTTGATAACATTGATCATCTCTAAACAGTGGATAAGCTTCAAAGAGTCGTTGATATGAGAAAACCCTTAAAAACAAAAAAAAGTTTCTAAAAAACATTTCTTAGTTTGGCCATGAAATACTATGGTATCTTTATTTCGACTTTGACTAACATGATGGAAGAATGAGTGGGGAAGTATGAGTCATAAAATAGTGGGGGAAAGAAAACAATCATTTCTTAGCTACATCTAGAAATTTCAATTGAATTGGACTCTCTCTACATGATATAAAATGTTTCTCAGCAGGTTTAATTACAGTATTCTACATGACTACAGATCATAAATTGCAGAATCTATAGAAATGAAAAAGACTAATTCAGTCTTTGAAAAAATCCTCTTGGGAAAAGTACTGTAAGAAAATATAGAGATTGTGTAGCCTGGGTGACTACAGACACAATGGTAAAATAAACAGGAGCAAAAGTGAATTAAGTTACCTTCTCCCTTGAGTAAGGAGTTATTCTATTCCAACTCCCAGCACTGTAAAGCAGTCTCAGTTGTTCAATTTAAGTATATGCTCACTCACTAACTCACACTGTTAAACCTGTCATGCTGGCAGTAAATGGCCACATTCATAGTGAGCACCAGGTAAACATGTTAGTATTGCCAAATTGTAATGATTACACATTTTCGTAAATGATGACACATCTCTGTGAGGGCTATCATCACCTCTTGAGTGAGACCCATGTATTATGGCCAGTCAGCACGGGGATGCTGGTGACAGAAGCATCAGTGAACTGGTACTGACTAAGCATGCACAGGCTATAGGCCCATGTACAGGGTGCTTGAAAGTTCATGATAAAGATGGGTATCCCCATCTTCTGGGAGTATCATCAGCAAAAAGCATTTATTATCACACAGAAGTAGGAATTTGACTATGACCCAAGTCAGGGATCAAACACTAGCTGGCTATTAATTCAACATGGTGGCAGAATATGGAACAATCTCTCCTAATACACATGGAAGGATATCAAAGAAAAAGAGGGAGTACGAAGAAACTAAAATGAACATTAGAGACAAAAATTACATATAGTAAAATGTCAGCACTACGAAATGAAAAAAAATTGGAACGGCTAATGATGAAAAATAATTTTGTTATATTTGAGAAAAATCATTCATCGTCTTCTACCTACTAAAATTTTGAATGTAATTCATGGCTACACAATGTTTCTTTAGTAATCTGAAAATGATGCGGCAGAATCTTTAATCAAAAATTATACTTGATAGTAATGAGAGGTTTTTAAAGATGCATCTTCTTTCTCTTGACCAAGAGTGCACATTTATGACATGACTGGCTAGGGTTGAGATATAATCTGGGTCCATACAGACCAATCAAAGCTAATTGGACTTTGTGGAAAATGAACTCATGACCTAGACCTCATTAGTCATGATCTAACCAACTGAGCTAATGGGCCATAGAAAATACATGTTAGCATGATATATTTACTTTGAATCATTTCTGCACTTAAATGGGCCATATAATTTTAAAGAGTCAACTTTAAAGATGCTGGTTTTCCAAGGTTTTGTGAATGAATTGACTCACTGATCACACATTTACTTATTATGTGGGAGACTCTAATGTCAGTGGTGGTATAGTTTAAAAATGCACAAGGCAATATGTAGAATTTAGAATCTAAGTAAGAGAGAAAAAAATGAAAAAAAATCTACAGTACATAATTTTACAGTGATAACTAATGTTTGAGTGTTCACCAAAGCACTTTCTATAAACTAACTATATCTGTTTCATGAATAAAAAAAAAGTGAAGCAGGTTGTGTAACTTTCACTAAGTCACACAATAGTAATCTCTCCCCTCTACCTTGGACCAATGATAAATGACTATGATAGATACTGTAAGAGTTAACTCTCTTAACACCCATTCCTTCTGCCCTTTTCCCTTACAGTCTTCTAGCACATACACATGAGAGCTACAAATTCTCATTCCCAGATTCCAAGGCCGCAAATATGGCCAGTGAAATGAAAACAAAAGGGAGCTAGGAATTTCTGGGAAAATCTCTCTCTCTCTGTCAGGGGGGTGTGGCGTGTGGGTGGGTGTGGGGAGGTGTGTGTGTGTGATATTATATATAATATATACGTGGGGGGTGTGTGTGTGTGTATGATATTATATATAATAATACGTGCTCTGGACAGCAAGAAGAGGAATGGTGAAAAGAGGCTTTCTTTTTATAAAACACCTATTATTTTTATTTAATAATCTTTGACATTTAAAATACAAGTCAAACATCCATATTAACAATACAGTTCACAGTATTCAACAGTGTTTTAGAAGCCTGGTTCTTCTAAGGACCAGGTAGGAAGGTCTGTATGTACAATCACAAAAGATCTGAGAGAGAGGTGCCCACACAGAAGGGCTGCAGTTGGGCCTCGAGCAAATGACACTGCCACGGTGCACATGTCTCATGGCCAAAAGACAATGCTTTTTATTTTTTTTAAAGATTTTATTTATTTATTTTTAGAGAGAGGGGAAGGGAGGGAGAAAGAGTAGGAGAGAAACATCGACTGGTTGTCTCTCATATATACCCTGACCAGGGACCAAACCAGCAACCCAGGCGTGTGCCCCAAACAGGAATCGAACCTGCGACCCTCCGCTCTGCAGCAGTATGTTCAACCTATTGAGCCACTCCTGTCAGGATGAAAATGCTTTTTTATTTCAGATTTTTCTGTACTTGAATTTCAAATAGTTTATCTTTATATAACAGTAATTTTTTAATAAAGTAAAAAGGAAAAAAGTAATTTAATTTTATTTTTAAAAATATTTTATTTATTTTATTTTTAGACAGAGGGGAAGGGAGGGAGGAGGAGAGGGAGAGAAACATCAATGCACAGTTGCCTCTTGTGCGCTTCTTACTGGGGACCTGGCCGATCACCCAGACATGTGCCCTGACTGGGATCAAACCAGGGACCCTTTAGTTCAATCATGTCAACCCACTAAGCCTTATCAGCCAGGGTCGGAACAGTAATTTAAAAAACTTACTCCTAGTGGTCCACTGTTGTAGAAATTAGATAATCATATTTCAAATGTATGTTTTCCTCTTTTGAAAAAAAAAAAAGCATTGAAAATTTCCTGGAAATGTTCCCTCTAGAACTATGCAAAAGAAAACTGACATGCTTCCTAAGTTATTCAAGAATTTCCACATGTATTTTATTATATTTGGATTTTGTGTGTATATACTCATATATATATATATACACAAAGTCCAATTATTCATATACTGTATAAATAACATACGTGTATATATAGTATAATCCCATTCTACATTGTGAAAATCTCTGGTAATACATGGTGCAAACATAAAATAAGCTTTAATTGGATACATCTTCCACTGGACACTGCTCCAGTAGAAGACCTCTGGCCTCATGCTGCAGCATTAAAAAGACTCACACACAAACTTACATTGCTCCATTGGTATAGACAGTATCGCTTCCTTCCACATACTGCACCTGAGCTGGATAGACATGTTGTACCTGTTGCACGGTTTGTACCTGCTGTACCTGAAAAACAAATATTAGGACTTTGGTGAGTGACAGACACGAAAAACTACACAGCATTAGATTTACCTCAAAGATTTCCCTACGGTGTTGCTGAATGTGAGAGTGCCTTGTGATGTGATCCTTAAGATTCTTCAAGGTCAGGACATGCTGGTTGGGCCAAAATCAAGTGCAGCAATCAGGCTGAATAAATTCTAACATTCCTACAGATATATATGTAAATATGCACATGCTTCAAATGTTCAGCATGAAAATTCTGAAAGCTCCTCACTTATTTTGACAATTATGAAATTCTTTTCCCCTGGTTTATTAAAGCTAAATTTATCTTGTAATTAAAAAGTTCATGATGAAAAACTTCAAACACTTACATGTAGAGTAAATACTACAATAAAATCATGCATTCATCATCCAAAATAAATATTTGTCACCAGATGTCCCTTCAACCACTTACAGGATTATTTAAAAGGAGGTACAGATTATATCATTTCACTGGTAAATATTTCACTTGGTTTCTAAGAGATAAGAACTATTTTTAACATGAACACAATGCTAATATCACATATAAAATAATAATTCTTCAATGTCATCTAAAAACCAGTCACTGTTCTAATTTCTATGATTATTCCAATGTCTTCTTATAACTGGTTTGTTCAAATCAGAATCCAAACAAGGTCTACACATTACATTTGTATCTTTCTTATTTTTCTCTTTCAATCTCTAATAGTTTCCCATCCTTTTTACTTCTGGACCATTACTTATTGGAGAAACTGAATCATTCATAGTGCAGAATTTCCGAAATTTTAGATTTGGCTGATAGCATCCCTGAGATGCATTTTAATGAGTTCCTGTGTCTTCTGTATGTCATGTACTCTAGTATTTAGATTGTGGGCCTTGAACAAGTTCAAATTTCGAAAAGCTGTGTACTCCCCATTGTGTTACGATTGGTTGCCATGTAACAACTGGCTGTCTCGCTGCAATGACAAGCAGTGGGGTCAGGCGTTGTCAGCTGGATCAATTTATTATGATACTCCCTATCCATGTTTTACCTGGGGATAGTAGTAACCAATGATGATCACTTTTCCAGAGATAGTATTTCAATTAACAAAGGCTACAAACTTTGGTGGTCTAATTCTGTTACACATTTTCATTTATTAGTAGACATCTATAAAAAAAGTCTTCTCATTAATTATTTGGTTACTTTGAAATAGGGTTTGTACATGAAGAATAAGATAAATACATGATTCTTTTCTTCACCCAGTATGAATAATAATTATTTTATCCCCTAGCTCCCTTCCAATGTACTTCTGTAAGGTAGTTTATAGTTTGGTTTGGGTTGTTTTGTATTCTTATGATTCTTGGTTTTTGAAAATATTTGATGTTTTTCAATCAGAGAAGCGTTTTCTTCCAAAAATGTTTCATCTTTGACAAATTATAGTTCCTTTGAATTAAATCCTGTATCTCCTGACATGACCCCAGTAATCTTGAACTCCCCTGCTTTCTGCTATAAAATATCCCAGATTTATCTCTTACATTTCCTGTCCTAAATCTGGATCAACCATACCTTCAAAAACCTGCCTTCTATTAGTAACCTGAATATGAAAGCTGTTTAGGAAGGCGATGTATAAATAGGCATACCATTTAACCATTTTGTGACTTCCTCTATAGAGATATTTAACATCCAAGGAGTCGCTGTACGACGTTTTAAATAACACAGTTTACATTAGACAATCCACATAACAGCACAACACATGCTCTATAATGTACCTGAATATGCAGCATGAAAGCTCAAATGCTGAGCAATAAAGCAAGTCCTAACAAATGCTAAAGGATTAAAAACAATACAGAGTATCTTCTCTGACTAAAAAGAATTCAAATCAAAGATAAAAAGGTATCTGAAAAATCCTCAAATATTTATATTATGAACAATATACTTTAATAGTATTAATGATTCACAGAAAAAATCACAAGGGGAATCAGAAAATATTTTAAATTAAATGAAACTGAAATAGAGTACACCAAAATCTGCAGAGTACAGTGAGAGCTGTGCACAGAGGGGAATTTATGGTTTAAATATTTTTATAAGGGGAAAAAACCCAATGCAATAAGTGTAAAGTTTCAACATTAAGAAGCTAAAAAAAAAATGAAGGAGAAATTAAGCCAAAAGTAGGAAAAGGAAATGAAGAGTAAAAAGAACCAATAAAAGAGATCAGAAAAAACAAAAGGAAAAATCAATAAAATGATAAACATTAAGGTAGACTTAGGAAGAAAAAAAGACAAAATTATGAATACCAAGGATGAAAGCTGAATTACATTCTAGAGACAAAAAAAATGGGTAATAAAAACAAATTAATGCCAACCAATTCCATTTCTTAGATTAAATGAATAAAGTCCGTAAAAGATACAAAATACCAAAGAAACTGAATTATGAAATTGAAATTATGAAATTCCACAGAGGAAACAAACTCCAGATCACTGGTGAATTCCAACAAACATGTCAGGAAGTAAAAAATAAGCCAACCTAACATATATGCTTTACAAAATGAAGAATAAGGGAACGTCTCTCAACTATTTTTATGTACTAGCCTTCCCTGAGACTAAAACCAGAAAAACATTACAAGAAAAGGTGATTATAGAGTAATTTCTTTCCTTATCATAAAAACAAATATCATTACTAAAATACAACCATTCTTAGGTATTACACAGTGACTGGTTCCAGGACCCCCTGCAGAAACCAAAATCCAACATGCTCAAATGCCTTATATAATAAAATGGAGTATAACAATGCATACAATCAGTGCTCTACATTGACAGTTCCCAACCATGGATAGAAAGTACTGTTTTTGATCCATGGTTGGTTGAATCCGTGGTTGCAAAACCCAGGGAAACAGAGGGATGGCTGTATATTTATTGAAAAAAACCCACATGTAAGTGGACCTGCACAGTTCAAACCCATGCTGTTCAAGGGTCAACTGTTTATCTATTTCAGCAATATATTTATGGAACAATATGTCATAATCAAGCAGGGTTTAGCCAAGATAGCAATGCCATGTTTAATATTTTAAAATCTATTAAATGTAGTCTGCCAAATTTACAGGAAATAAAATGGTATGATAACCTCAACACACGCTACTAAACTATTTCACAAAATTAAAATCCATTCATGGTAAAAAAAACAAAAACAAAACCAAAACAACAAACTCTCAGTAAGGAAAAGACAGACGAAAACTCTCAATTTGAGGAAAGCCATCTGTGAAAAAATACAATTATCACACAAATTAAATAATGGAAGTCTGATCTTTAACACTTAAACAATATCCATTCTTTTTTCATAAACTCCTCTATTAAATTCTTCAGTGATGAAAAATGAGGAAGACTGTGATACAAAAATCCGATTAATACTGTATCAACATTGATGGTTATTTGTAATCACAGCTTCTCTTCTCCTTTATAAATATATTAAAATTTTGCACATTCTTAACCTGGCTAGGTGGCTTAGTGGTTGGAGCATAGACCCATATACAAAAAGGTTGCAGGTTTGACCCCTGGTTGTAACGAGTATGGGAGGCAAGAGATCAATGTTTCTCTTTCTGTCTGTCTTTCTCCCTCTCACCCTCCTCTTCCTTGCTCTCTAAAATCAATAATTGGGTGAGAATAAAATTTTTTTTTTGCACATTCTTGCTATTTGCTCATAGTTCATGTTGTTTTTTCTACATAAATTATTTCATCAAACAACAGAAATACACCATTTTCCTTCCAGGCCTGATTAAGATCTAAAAGCCTTCTGTAACTTATTTTATCCCATGAGACTGACTCTTCCTATCTTTTTACTCTCTTAGGACTCATTAATACAGGTGGCAGCACATGGCTTAGTACCCATTTATGTTCCCAATCGGTAGTACTTTATGGAGCCAATATGGTGAGGTGGCAAAACCCATTAATTTTAAGCCCTTGTGCTGATAGTTGCTGTTTTCATATTGGGATAGCCCATTTATTTCTTTAAATAATAATTGCTTTTTGTGTAAAATAGAAAACATACCTATTCTATCATAAAGGATTTTTGTGAGGATCCAAAATGATTAAAGATACAAAACACAGTGCAGACATATATAATAATTAGAACCCATCTTGAAAGTTAGTGAAATTATTAAATATTTCAAAACTAAAAGTCTTGTCTTTTACCTCATTATAAATTTCATCTGTATGTCCCACTTGATTTCAGCTGTAAATATGAAGGGTTCTTTAAAACCATGAAATTCGATAATTAAAGTAGAAATGGAAAGTGTCAAGAACTTTAGAAAAGAAGTCTGGATAGGTTCTGGCTAACTCATCTAGGATGGCAATATATAATTATGTTCCTTGATCACTCCGACATTTTATAGTACAATGTAAAAACAGTGCATAATTCTTTACATTATTTATCAAGGGACTGAAAAAGTAAATAAAAGACAAACTCCATAGCAAAAGTAGTGAATTTGAGCATATTCTGAAGGTAATAGAATTTTCATAATTATTTGTTTTTCTACCACCTCTTAAAAATTGGGCTGAAGATGCCCGTGAAACAATTCCGTGGTAGGAAGATAGAGAACTGCACACTGTGTGCCTGTAGTTTGAAAAGGTATTCCTGCAAGGGTATGATGGTAGTGGAGGAAATAAAAAAGAGGAGTGAAAAGAAGTGAAATGAAATGAAATGAAATGAAATGAAAGAAAGAAAGAAAGAAAGAAAGAAAGAAAGAAAGAAAGAAAGAAAGAAAGAAAGAAAGAAAAGAAAAGAAAAGAAAAGAAAGGAGGGAGGGAGAAAAGAGAAAGAAAAAGAAGAAAACAACCTTATCTATACATGTCTAATTTCTCCAATGAAGCTTAAATCCTTGTAAAGTCTCTTAGATTTTAGTTGGATGTTTGTTATTTAATTCCCTGTTCTCTCATTTCCTCCCTCCCTCCCTCCCTTCCTTCCAGGAAAGTAGGGTTCTATTATTAGTTAGAGAGCCACAGAAATGCTCCCTTCT